AATGATAATATTAACTTCTCGTCTATCTTTACATATGTATCATTATTTACATAAATTTATATTTTATATTAAAATAATTTATATATTTTATATTAATTTTACATTTATTTTTGCTTAATTAAATATGATTCATTTTTATCGAATTTGCTGCCATTTTTCATTTGATCTGAGAGAGAGAGAGAGAGAGAGAGAGAGAGAGAAAGAGAGAGATAGAGAGAATTTCAACTCGATTATATGTATATCAGATACAAATGGCTGCGTTCGTGATGTTTCTGATTGCGATTTTCAACTATATAAACACGCTTTTATCATATATCAAATATATATCAGTAAGAATATCATAAATAAATTCTTATAAACTATGTGCTTTGTGTACACATATGTGCGTAACGACTGACCTATTTTTTCCTTTCTCGTAGGTCGTTGTCTCTGCCACGTGTTTTCACGAGAAGTTGCGTCTTTTTTTTTCCGGTCATGCCTGGATGCGGGTGCGCGCTGTTCTTCTTGAAAATCAGTGTTGGGCATCTCCGCGTAAACAATAACAGTCCACGTCGACGCGGAAACTTGGTATAAACTATCTCTTTTTATCTCTATGCTAGCAGCGCGTGTTCCCGGGCTTTCATCAAGACAATTAAGCGTTATATATGTATAATTATTTTCTCGTTCATATGGTAATATTTGATATTGTATCAAAACATTCTTCTGACAAAGTATGAAGAGAATTTACAACTGTATCGATTTTAATTTTGAAAAATAATAATTGTGATTATATTACTTTTTTCTTTTTTATTAAAAATATATTAAAAACTGCTGCTATATTCTTTGCGTGAAAATATTCGTAATAATGTTTTGTTAATCAAAGATGATATTAGATTTCAGATATATTAAACATCTTGAGATTAAATAACTTGTGCTCTCTCCCTCTCAAGCATAAATGCAGCAAAATGTGATCTATATACGTAGTCTATACTTACTATGTCTATATTCACAAGTGACACAATCAATCATAATTACAGTAAAAGAAAAAAAAATATGCACTGCTATCGATTTTCGACTGATAGCGTGGTTTAAATTGATATCTATTTAAAAAAATTAAAGATCGTCAAAGAATCATAGAATAATTTAAAGATTCGTAAAGTGTGATATATCTCTCTAGAAACGTATAGTTTAACAAAATATAGATTAGAAGAAAAAACGGAACGCGCGTGGAACATTGGGGGATCAAAGTACCGTGTACGACGCCTGTCAGAAGCCGCGCGTGTGGCGTGAACCACGTCTGGTTAAGATCAGAGACGAGATCTCCCGCATGGAGGACGTTATATCGCCTGATCCCCATCCCGCTCCTGTCCTACATGTCATGCGGCTACCCACGCTAATTAATCCATTATCATCGCGGTCGTCACTATCGGCACTACCCCGGCTTTATACCGTTTCTCGGCGATGACAAAGACGGCTTACACGCCGTTCGCTATATCTAACTTTAATGACGGTGTATACTAAAGGTGTGACTGGCTTTAGTATATATTCTTTCAGGAGCGTGTTAACGACGTGTATTAAATCATGAAAACATAACAGAAGCGTGTTCGGGAGCGCCGTCTCGACTGATTACACAACAGCTCCGTCAGTAAAAAATGAAGAATATATACGATGAGAAGACAAAGACGCATTGAGAGAACTGAAAATAAAGAGAAAATAATTATATCAAAATATAAAAAAAAGAATTCAACAATAGAAAAAATAGAATTAAATTAAATTACATAAATTCAATTATCTAATAATGTTGCATGCAAAATATTTATTCCCCGGCATTTGACCTACATTTCGTGGTAGGAATGACGAATGAGCTCCTTTATCATTCACACATGACGTTCGGCACGAGTGATATAATTCGTTGCTTCGAGGCGTTATCCCCCTCGTCTCAAGGGACGCAGGGGGTCCTCCCTTGTGTCGCAGTGACACACGTGATTCGGCGCACCCAGCACGTGACTGCTGGCGCGTGCCGGTTGCATTTAATTTCGCTAAAACCCAGCGCGCGAATAATAAACTGACAGCGACGGTCTAGACACAAGGTCTACCACCATCGTTTGGGGGGGAAGTATTACTATTTGCCGCGCGTGTGGGCGTTCACCATGTGGGAGTGCCGCCGGACATGACGGGGGACATCGGTCGGACGAAGCATGTCACGCACGTGTGTGTGGGTCGCGGTTTCCTCTCCCTAGAACTGAAACTCAGAATTCAGGAATCGGCGCGAGATAAAAGAAACCGTCGGACAGTAACGAGCGACGAGAGGGAAATATGGGAAAAGGGAACATTTAGAACATGGGACGGGGCGGCTCGATTAATTTTTTCATCTGGCAAATGCGCTATGCCAACGCTGATAAGCGGCGTCGTCGGAAACGGATGAAATTTGCTCTCGACTGCTTTTCGGTGTATAAGAGGTAAATTGATCGAAATGAATTACGAGGAATTTATCTCGAAAAGAAAGGGAAAATATGAATGGAAGATGGAAGTTCTGTAGCAGATGTATGTTAATTAATCCGATAAGCTCATCAGTTCATGGAGAACAATTATTCGAGGTAAGGTCTCTCGAAGAGATCAAACAGGGTAACATTCCGCTAATTAGTTGATCCTATCAGACGACCTATCCGAAGGTTTCCTCGTAAAACATTATCGTCGCAACTATCTTATCGCCTAGGTAGGAATGATTATACAAGTCAAGCGAAAAAAGAAATGCGTTTATTACGCATTAAATATCGAGTATTCGCATATACTTTTATATAATAGCCGCGAGGAAATTATATATATTAGATGAAATAATAAATTAGATGAAATAATCTTTATTTACATGATGTTGCATCAGTACGGTATGCTAAATTCTTGTTGCTGATTTTCTTCATCAATATTCTTATACTCAAGTAAATCCAAAATGCCATCTTCCTTCTTTTCGTGAATATCGAATATTGGTATTGGTTTCATCTTTCGAACTGCTCTCTCTATCTTTTGTACCACACTAATTTCCGACGGAGTGCTTATAAAATTCGTTACTCTACAGTCCTTAACGCCACCGACTCTTCCAGTTCTACCACATCTGAAAGTATCATATAATATGTCGTATTGCGCGCACAAAGTACCGTACATACTATATGCAAAATATACGCAAGATTTATAAGGGACGAGATAGATTATGCAGATAAGATACCTGTGAATGTAATCGGCGGTTGCGTTTGGGAAATCATAATTCAACACATGGCGTATCGCCACTGTATCCATTCCCCTGGATCCCGCGTTTGTAGTGCACAACACGAAGCATCTACCGCCCTTAAAGCTGGCGTATTTGTTTTGCCTCTCGTATAATGGCATGTCACCGTTTAAGCGAACCGTTTCTATTTTGCTTTCGTTTAGGAACATATTGACCCAGTTGCAAGTGCTATTGGTGTTATTGAATATGATTACCTGCTCTCTATTGGCCATTTTCGGCTTGATATATTTTAAAAGTTCTGTCGGTTTGTCATCCGATCCTACTCTCATAAATTTTTGTGGTACGAGAATGTGATGTAGCTTATTCGAAGTTATATTTACCAATGATTCAACCTGTAAAAGAATAATGTATATAATACAATTTTTATACTATCTTAACTTTAAGAGTACCTACATCTATGATGTTTTTTAGAACTTCTGACATTCTTGAAGGCATTGTTGCAGATACTAATGCGAATTGGGCGCCTTTCGGTAGTTTGGTATCCTCATCTACATTTTGCATAAAGCCGAGCTAGAAACAATAAGATTATTTTGATTTTATATATTTATTATATCTATAAACGTTGAATATAAATTTTATAAATAATTTAAAAGATATAAATATATATACCGGTATTTTTTTCAGGAATACTTGTAGCTTTTCTTCAAATGTTTCATGAAATAAAGCATCTGCTTCATCTAATACAATAGATTTGACCATGTCCAATTTATAAATTTTATTTGTGGTTAACTTACTGATGACTCCAAAACTAGCTATAATAATGTCAACTTTCTCTACAGGTGGATCTAACAACATCTTGTTTGTCTTTCCACCAGTAATAGTTTTTACATAAATACCAAGATGTTGACATATTTTCTTTGTTTCTAGCTGTGGAGAAAATATATTCCTTAAAGACAAGAAAAATTATATAATTTTGTTTATTATATAATACAAACTCCAATTTGAAATGCCAATTCTCGAGTAGGTGTGATAATCAATCCCAATGGGGAGTTATATTGGTTCCCTGCTAACTGTTTCCATCTTAAAACTTTATCTATCATGGGTAGAAGATAAGTTAATGTTTTTCCACAACCAGTCTCAGCTGCTATGATAGTATTAGCACCATTCATTATCTGAGGTATTCCAATTGTTTGTATCTTCAAAGGCTTTGATATACTGTATTTTTCTAAGATATTTATTATTTGTGGATTTAAACCAAATTGTGCAAAGGTATCGCATACTTCTTCTTCTTCTTCATTATTATACGCCTCTTCTTCCACCTAAAAGTTCAATACGTGCGTGAGGCAGATACATAAGTAAAGAATAAATGAAAAATTAGTAAATAATATCATACATTTGTAAGAGGATATACGAAGAAAAAATCTCCTTTAGATTTATAATGCTGCCATCCTTTACTAGCCAGTGGTATAGTTTCCAATTTAGAATATTTTTGTCCTTCGTAAAAGTTAAACTCCTTCCGTTTGCAAACAACTATTGGTGTTTTCCCTTCTGTATCATTTGGTCTCTCAATGCGACTGACATTACCCTTCCTTTTGATACCTTTTTTCTGTGCATAATATTGGTTTATTGTTAAATTTATTACATTTAATGCACACACATGTATTGTAACAAGATAAATAAGGATAAAGACAAAATATTGCACTCACATAACATCTTTGGAATTGTACAAACTGGGCATTCGCGGTTTTGTGACACAAATTACAAAATCGGGAGAACATTGTCATAATTACTAACTACAAATAATTGTAAATAAAGCCGCATTTGCACATAGAAAACATGTGATGTTACCAAGTCGCTGCCATCTTGAATTATCGGTAATTTTATTATATGAAAATAGTAAAATTTTATGTTGTATTCTATTTTATAATACTTTATTACGATTGTTTCATAAAAGTATGATTACTTTAAGAGAGATTATGTATAAAATATTTAACTTTTTTATGACATAATATTATCATATTTAATTATTTATCAGTTATCGATAATACAGAATGTTATTTCAATAAGATCCTTGGATCAAGAATGTGTAGTGCTGAATTTGAGCAATGACAGAAGATGCAATATTCTCCTATAGATGGTGCTTCCCGTTCCTTTTGCGCAGAATGATAGAATCCAGCTAGCAAGCGCACGAGATTTTGACGTCATTTGACGTCAAATAACGTTATTTTGACGTCAAATGACGTGCATTTGCTACCTGGGAAAATACCATTTCGCCAAGCGACATTGAAACCTCTGCAAGTGAAATACGAAATAGAGGAGGTATTTATAAATATATTAATTTTTGAGAAAATACAGAATGATAACCGATAATAAATTGATATTGTATTAATATTATTATGCTCCATTAACGCGATTAACGTACAAAGTTATTTGCAATTTTCGAGAGACAACAAAATGCGACACACATTCACATGCCTTCATGTTTTATCATCAAACTCATTTTATGATCAATTATTCGCTGAATGCGTAATATTTCTCTCGTATTTAATATAAATATTGTCAAAATAAAACGAAGCAAGATGAATTAATACAGTCATTAACAACGATTGTGTTGTATTATTCTCTTGAAATTCTTTTTAAAACAGATAATTTGTGATAAATATTGGGTGAGATATATGTCTTATTTTTTTACATTATACGTGTATATATATATATGTATGTATATATAAACTTAAGATATTTATTATTTGTGGATTTAAACCAAATTGTGCAAAGGTATCGCATACTTCTTCTTCTTCTTCATTATTATACGCCTCTTCTTCCACCTAAAAGTTCAATACGTGCGTGAGGCAGATACATAAGTAAAGAATAAATGAAAAATTAGTAAATAATATCATACATTTGTAAGAGGATATACGAAGAAAAAATCTCCTTTAGATTTATAATGCTGCCATCCTTTACTAGCCAGTGGTATAGTTTCCAATTTAGAATATTTTTGTCCTTCGTAAAAGTTAAACTCCTTCCGTTTGCAAACAACTATTGGTGTTTTCCCTTCTGTATCATTTGGTCTCTCAATGCGACTGACATTACCCTTCCTTTTGATACCTCTTTTCTGTGCATAATATTGGTTTATTGTTAAATTTATTACATTTAATGCACACACATGTATTGTAACAAGATAAATAAGGATAAAGACAAAATATTGCACTCACATAACATCTTTGGAATTGTACAAACTGGGCATTCGCGGTTTTGTGACACAAATTACAAAATCGGGAGAACATTGTCATAATTACTAACTACAAATAATTGTAAATAAAGCCGCATTTGCACATAGAAAACATGTGATGTTACCAAGTCGCTGCCATCTTGAATTATCGGTAATTTTATTATATGAAAATAGTAAAATTTTATGTTGTATTCTATTTTATAATACTTTATTACGATTGTTTCATAAAAGTATGATTACTTTAAGAGAGATTATGTATAAAATATTTAACTTTTTTATGACATAATATTATCATATTTAATTATTTATCAGTTATCGATAATACAGAATGTTATTTCAATAAGATCCTTGGATCAAGAATGTGTAGTGCTGAATTTGAGCAATGACAGAAGATGCAATATTCTCCTATAGATGGTGCTTCCCGTTCCTTTTGCGCAGAATGATAGAATCCAGCTAGCAAGCGCACGAGATTTTGACGTCATTTGACGTCAAATAACGTTATTTTGACGTCAAATGACGTGCATTTGCTACCTGGGAAAATACCATTTCGCCAAGCGACATTGCAAGTGAAATAAGTGAAATACGAAATAGAGGAGGTATTTATAAATATATTAATTTTTGAGAAAATACAGAATGATAACCGATAATAAATTTTAATATTATTAATATTATTATGCTCCATTAACGCGATTAACGTACAAAGTTATTTGCAATTTTCGAGAGACAACAAAATGCGACACACATTCACATGCCTTCATGTTTTATCATCAAACTCATTTTATGATCAATTATTCGCTGAATGCGTAATATTTCTCTCGTATTTAATATAAATATTGTCAAAATAAAACGAAGCAAGATGAATTAATACAGTCATTAACAACGATTGTGTTGTATTATTCTCTTGAAATTCTTTTTAAAACAGATAATTTGTGATAAATATTGGGTGAGATATATGTCTTATTTTTTTACATTATACGTGTATATATATATATGTATGTATATATAAACTAACATCAATTAAAATAAAGTTCTAAAATCCACGCGATAAAAAAAGACGAAGGGAGAAAAATCGAACCGTTCGATTGAATTTTCTTTATGCAAAGAAGCCGCGCATTTTA